TTGGTATCGAGCGCAGTTCGGATCATGTCGCAGAAGGAATCATTTCTCTGTATCGTTGTACTTGGCTCATTCGTATTCAAAGACAGTAGTCATCGGCGTTCAATGCCAATGTGGCATCTGTGCTACTTGAATCAGTCGTCCGTTCCTCGAAAGACTCAGAGTGCAACGCACACTCATCATCAAGATTTTCATAATCAAATTGTTTACATCCAATATTCTCGAGACAAAATATTTTTCTCTCTCTATCTCTCTCTTTCTCTCTCTCTTTTTCTGTATCTTTCTACTCGATATAATTAATCAAAACTGATCGTATCATTTCTACAAATAGCTCAGAAAATACTCGACCACACGAAGATTCGACGATTTTCCTGCCTTTCTGGATAATCGAATTGCAACAATTGCAACAACGTTTGCACGAAGAATCGTGGATTTTTATTGTATTTTTGCGAAAGTAAAATTTGTGAGAAATTATTTTGTGAATTAAAAAAAAAAAAAAAAAAAAAAAAAAAAAAAGAAACAGGAAAGAAAAAAGTGAAGAAACCGTGAAGGAACAATTAAGAAAAATGTGTTTCATACGTTGCCTCTTGATCTCGATGTTCAACTATTTTCCTATCATCACGTGAAAAACTCGATTTCGAAGAACGATCATGATGCGAGCATCCGCCGCCGCTTCGTTACGGAAGATCTTCGATCGAACTTCGTTAGAACTTCTCCCTTGGAAAATTTGAACAAATCATGAAAATTTCGAGACGGAATTTCGAGAACTGTTTGAAACAATTTTTTTCGAGATAAAATCTTCGAATAAAATTCGAATAAAATCATCGAATAATCGTCGCGTTTCGGATCAAGTTCAATTGACCGGAAGTGGAGGATCGAGAGGAAAAAAAATATCTTACGAGGATTTTTTTTTTTTTAAAAAGAACGAAAGTTGAAAGAACTTTTTGGAAAAGTCCTTCGAGTGTATTTTTTTTTTCTAACTAAACGAGGATAATTAAGAGGATAATCGAGTGAGTTGCTCGGTGTAAAAAAAAAAAAATAAAAATAAAAAATGGTGTTTCGTCGGCAAACCAGCGAACCGACCGGAAGTGTGACGAAGAGCCCCAGCATAGCGCATAGTACCAGCTCGTCCGGGATCTTGTCGAATTGGTATACGAAAATCACTACGAACGTGAAGAAGAGGCAACCGTTTAGCCCGAAATCTTTATTGAAGAAGGCGTTGGTACTTAACTTTTTTTTTCGATCTTTTCTATCTTCTTTGAAGAATCCTTCTCTTTCTCTCTCTTTCTCTCTTTCCTCCCTCCCCCTCCCCTTTCTTTGTTCGAAGATTTTTCCCTTTTGAAATAATTTCGATCATTAACGAAAGTAAAAGAGATATTTGCAGAGGGATCAGAGAAACACAGTAAGAAATTTTTTTTTTTTTTTCTTTGCTGCATTATTTAATTCGTAAAGAGAAGAGAAGTATTGTGGAAGCATAGTGTATTGTCTGGAAACGAAGAAATGGATTCATTATTTATCATAATCTTGGGAAAGATTAATTTTCTTTTCTTGAATGGATTTCTTTGCAATGCAATCTTGAGAAATTTTCGATATTTTTTTTTTTTTTTTTTTTCTGCCTTTTTTAATTTGTAAAGAGAAGAGAAGTATTGTGGAAGCATAGTGTATTGTCTGGAAACGAAGAAATGGATTCATTATTTCTCATAATCTTGGGAAAGATTAATTTTCTTTTCTTGACTGGATTTCTTTGCAATGCAATCTTGAGAAATTTTCGATATTTTTTTTTTTTTTTTTTTAAGGACGAGGATTTTTGATCGAAAATTTGTGTAAAAAATTATGATGCATTTAGAAGAGAAATTACATCTACGCTTTCACGGTACAAGTGAATCTTTTTTCACGATTCATTTATCTGCATGAATGATTTCGAATGTTTGTTAAAAAGATAATAAGAATTTGAGGAACGACTGTTGTTTTTCTCTTGGATATAAAAAATTAAATTTTGCAAACGAATATTCGTATAAAGGAAGAGATGATATAATTATGATAAGAGAGTTTACAAATGAGAATCGATATTCATTTTCATTCTTTCAATTTTCAGCTGCCAGTCGTGGATCCTTTCCTGGAGAAAGTTTCGCTGTCTGATCTCGGTAAGTTTTTTCTTCTCCTTTGATTATTTACACTTTGCCTCGAGCTTCGATTAATCTTCTGGGACTGGGGAGCGATTCGAGTGTTTATCGACGTTTTCGTGAATGAATAATGTAACGTGCAATTAGATTGAAAAAAATATTTGAAAAGGAATGGTGATGATATCATTTCGGTGGATAAAATTTATCGAAATTGATACTTTTTTACCGACCGAGACAAAATTATATCTATTTCATTTTCAAAAAAGAAAAAAATTATTCCGGAAGATTGATCAGATTTATTTATATCTTTAAATGAAACGAAGTCACAATGTTTAATTTATTAACAAGAATTCTTATATTAATAATAATTATATCAAAAATAATATTTTAATTGACGAAAATTAAAATGGATAGTTCTTATCATTAAATGATTAAACGTAACGTTTCATTGAATAGTCTTGTCTGAAACGTATTCTTTTCTGAAAATTCCATGTGAAAAATAAAATTTCTTGGTTTCTTTCATCGTAATATATCGAAGAAGTATATTCGATGAAAAGTTAAATTTCTATTAATTTTCATCGAATTATCTTATTTTTCTGTAATTTCTAATTGAATCCTTCATTAAAAAAATTTCAATTTAATTTTTTCTATGGAAATTTTAAAATAGAAAAATCTCAAATTGATTACAAAATAAAATTTAAATTTTTCTCTCCTTCTTTACTTACTTATGTACATTAGTCTGCTTTTCTTTTTGTTTTATTATTCGAGTTAACTATGTTCAGGCGAAGAAAATACTGTGAATAGGATAAGGGAAAAACTGATAAATCGATGGAGCAGGTAACATATTTATAAATAAAGGATAGTGCGTAAATAAGGGATAGAAGAATTTAAACGAATTATATCGAAATGATTAGGGTTACAATGGAATTTACCTATTGCTCCTGTATATCTATAATAATAAATATCAATAAAATAGTATTTTTAATCTTTTTGTAGAATAATGTAGAATAATTTTTACGTAGAAAGCTCGAGTGATATTTTTATCATTCGGTTAAAATATATCGATTAAAAAAAAAACGGTATTATTAACTTTTAGTAACGTAAAAAAAAAAAGTATAAAATTGGAATTTTGTAAAAAAAAAGAAGTTTAAAAAAGTTCAGAGAAAATTTAACAAAGTTGGTTATATGATTGTGTATGTGAGGTTAATTTTAATTCGAGCGAAATTCGAAGTTATGAATGGAGTAAAAATGAATTGGAAATACATCGACGAATAAAGATGTATACACGATAATCCGTCCACGTTTCTTTTGCATCGACAATTATTAAAATTAATTATTAAATACAATCGAAAAATGATCCTCGTTTATTTAAAGAGAGATACAATACAATAATCGGTATCCTTTAATATATTTCATTTCTATTTACGTTTAAGTCGTGTTTATGGTAAAAAGAAAGAAAAAAGAGAAGTAAGTTCCAATTATCTTACCTTGTCCATTAAAAGAAAATCTTAAACTACTTACATAAAATCGCGACGAGGCGAAAGAAACCGAAGTAGAAAGAAACCGAGTTGTGAAGAAGTACCAACTTCGGATATAAAAATTCCCTATTATATAACTGCGCAATGTAGCCAGAACGAAAGTAAACAGAAATGAAATTTCATGGAAATTTGTAATCATTTACTGGCTATTTCACTAAAGCAGAAAGGTATACCAGTTGATTCAGGTCATGTTTTCGAATAGTAAATGTAATATAAATATACCTTCAAAAATTTACTGTTCGAAGTCTTGGAATATTCTAAAATTTGCCAACGTAATACGTGCATCATATTATTTAATATAGATATTATATCATACAAGTTTTAAAAAAATATTTATATTAATAAGACAAAAAAATAAAAACGAAATAAATAACAAAACAAAACAGGAAAAAAATCGATGATACATTGATCTTTAAAATTAAATTGAAAAATAGATGATCCATAATTAAAATCATTAAAGACATAATTTCTTCTCTTCCCTTTTAAATTTTTCAATCCTATTTTAAATAAAATTGCTATTTCATTCGTAAAAAAAAATTCCAACTAACTAATCTAACCTAAGTTTATAGTAACCTAATCATCATATTTCAAGAATTCATTTACTTAAAAGTATCTTCATTCTGAATCAATTCTAAATTCCATTTCTAATTCTACTCCACATTAAAAAAAATTGCCATTCATAATTTAATAAAATTTAATAAAATTTAATCTCAAATATGTAAATTATATTTCAATGATACGTTTGTACAAAATTTTTCGGTCGGTAATTCTTCGATTCTATGTCGGTCCATAAATTATCGTCTAACAAAATTCCAATCTAACCTCATTTTCACTACATTTCAAGTACACGTTTGTATAAAATTTTTCTTTCAATAATTCTTTCATTCTATTAATATTTATCAATCTTTAACAAAATATATCTTCAGTACATACATGTATTGTTTACTTACTTCATTCGATCCATTGCTCGAAAATGTATATGATATTGTAACTCGTATCCAAGGATTATATATCGCGTATCCCGGGCCGAGAATGAATCGAAGGCAAGTTTAAACCACGTGCTCGACGATCTATATCGGTTGTCCCTTGAAATCGTGCTTCTGCTTCCTCTTTTACCCCCTCCCATCCTTCCATTTCTCTGTCTGTCGTGGGTGGATGGATCGATGAATTCCCGGGAGTCCAGCTCGCTCAGTGTGCACATCAGACGGAGAGGGACGATTCGAGAGGACCGGAAGTGGGACAGAGAGGACGTTACATATAGGTCGATTTTCTTGAACATCGCGAATAAAGTAGATGGGCAAATGGCAAAAAGAGGATACATAATGGAGATGTGAATGTTGAAAAAGGGAAAAGAAGATAAAAAAAAAAAGGATAATGGAGGAGAGAAAGGAAGTGTATCGATATTGAAATAAATGAAGAAACGTGGAAGGATGTGGTTTCGTTGCGAAGTTAGGTTAGCATGCAAAATGGAAGAGTTAATTGAATTTACGTTAAACGATATTAACAAAGAAAGAATCAAAATAACGTTAAAATTGATTTTTGTCGTTTCACGATAATTGAAAACAATGTGAAAATATTTTTGACAAAATTAATATTAATTTTGAGATAGTATTATTTTTACGATATTTAATTACAATCATTTATAATGTAAATTTCGTAAAAATATGTACGTTCGTAATATAATAAACGTAATATAATTTCGTAATATTATAATAATTTTCATGAATATTTATGAGGTTAACGAATTTCATCAGCTTACAAATTATAATAAACAAATCGTACAAAAATAATACGTAACAAATTAAATAATATTTACTGTTCTACCGTCAACCTAACCTAAAAATAATTTCATACGTTTCAAATCCTTAAAGAAAATAACTACCGCATAAAAACACGTGGTATATAAAGTAGCAAGCAGACAACCAACAAGTGAAACGCGAAAACACCTGTGTGACTCAGAGAAATTCCATCGTGCGAAATCATGCCGTTCTAACCTTTTTTTTTTCTTATATATATATATATATATATATATATA